TGAATTTGTTAATTGAAATCTTTAATTTTTATTTAAAAATAAATCAGGTACGCTGAGAAAAAAAATTTGTCGAAAAAACGCAAAATTTGTTTCATCTTACCAAAATATTTAGTCCAATGCGTTACGCAACTAAACGTTACTAGAATGACAAAATAATTTGTTGCTATTAAAATTAAACAAAATACTATCTTTTTACTAAACTATTTTGTTTCAACAAAAATTTATCGTAATCGACTCAACCGTTCGATTAAAAATACATACTACACTTTTTATTTCCATCAGCATCGTTTAGTAAAGTTTGATACTTGGAGTTTGAACAAATATATTACTTCATGGAAAGAACAATTTTGCTGAATCCAGGTCTGAAAATAATTTTTGTACAATAATCAAAATAATTTTGTGCAAAAGTGAAAATGATTGCTAAAATATCAAAATGTTTTATAGCATTGCTTATCAGTTTTAACATTCCAACAAATTATTTTAATGATTCAACAAAAAATTATTTTCAGATCTGTTTTTTAACCAAATTTTTAGACCTTTCAACAAAATCGTTCTTTCCATGTTGGATAACTAAATAGCACGCAAACACAAATTAAAACTACTAGTATTTCGAACAAAATAATTCAATTGAGTTGGTTTAGTTAATTCTCCATTAAAAAATTTTGCTGATTTACATGAATGAACTATGTGCCTTTCTTTGTGCAACTAAAGAATTGTTGAATCAAACAACATACACAATATACACAAATTTAATTTGTACAATTAATTTTTTTCTCAGTGATAGCGCCACAGTTGCGCGCGATGAACTTATCACATTTTGAGTTGCACCGTCCACTTTTCTCCGTTTATAACCAGCACCGCTTTCCACACCAGAGTTATTAGTATGCCGGCGTCCACGCTTGAAAAGTGACACAACTTAAGAGGAACGTGATTTTCAAGTTATTACCATGAATGAGTTAGGTAAACATTATCCTGTAATCAATCAACCAAAACTGTCTAGGGGAAACTTAATTTTTCTTTTTTACTCGTGTCACTTTTTTAAAAGTAAGGGTAAGCGATGTAATATAGGACCAACGGCGCTAACAACCCATTCAGACATTATAAGGCGCACAATTTCGACACGTTTTATCGTACAGCGCTCCTCGATTGCGGGCGTAATGTGAGCTGGGCCGCGTTTTGAAATCGTATACACGCGATTATGCCGCAATTATGTCGATCAATCCTTTAGCCTCATGACGTACCGGAACGTATAGAGCAAATATCAAATTCATTTGTATTCTTGGGCGAAGAAAAAGAATTCTGCGCAAAAGTAATATAACGCTAAGATAAAAAAAAACAACATACGAAATACTTCAAATAATCGATCATCGCCTGCAGAATCAACATGCCGCGCATTTCACATACGATTGCCAAAGTAATAAATTTCAACATATCGCACGAAAATAATGGAGTCACGCAATCTCTCTCTCTCTCTCTTCCTTGCAGGGGAACATTGAACAATACGTCCAGCGCGGTATTACGTAAATGCGCAACAAAAGAATTTGGGGCTAAGATTGAAAGGTTTTTCATTTATGATCTTGATCCAGATAGATCCCGCGCGGGTAATCACTCGGGCGGGACCGACCGTCCTTTATTTTTTTTCCTCTCTTTAAAGATTGCTGCCGCGCGGATTGCGTTCACGGAACGGCGATGATGTGTACGTTACGTGCGCAAAAGAAATAGCATTGCTCGTTGCGAAGACAAACGGGCTTTGTCGAGAGAATTGCGCAAGGATAGAACTGAAGCTACCACGCCTTTGTCGGGGCTAAAAACTATATAGAAATATATACGTTCGAGAATTATAAGTTTCCGGTACGAGAGAAAATTGTGCATTAATACATATATTTGGTAATATATGACTTAACAACCCGTATTATAATTGTGAAGCAAGAAGCACATCGCGAGACATATATATGTAATTGCCAAGGTTTCGCTTATATCGTTCCGCATTAAAGCTCCAACAGTATGTATATATATGCCAAGTATATGCGAGATTTAGTCTGTTATAAAATTACACGGTTGTTGATTTAATAGTAAAAGTTTATTTGCATATCAGAGTTTTAATAAAATAAATACAGTATGTACATATATGTACTGTAAGAAGTGGCGGCGGCAAGTTTCTCGTAATTAACGAATGTATATCCTTAATTTCACCTCAGGATGTTCTGTAACGCACGCCAGTTCGGTTTTATTTCGCGGCCAAAGGAATTCGGCGTAAATTTCCCGCATTAGTATGCGTTCTCTCCCCCCTCCCCTCTCTCTCTCGCGCGCGCGCGCGAAGAAAAATGCGTGAAGCGATTTCACAAAAAAGATAATAATAATTCGGGTACGAAAACGCGAAGAGAATGAGAGAGCAAGAGAGAGAGAAAAAGAGAGAGTGAATGAGCGAAAGAGTGAGAGCGATCGCTTCTCTATTACGCCAAGACATGACGTAACATTTATGCGCTCAGTAACAATGATGCATAAGCAATCGACTCTATTCTTTCATCTCTTAGCCTTTACGCTGCAATTTATAATTAAACCGAATAATATGAGAGAGTATACAATGTATCAACATTGTCAATCTCCGTGTGTGCGGATTTAGTTATGATTACATCCGACGGAGAATTTTTTTTTCCATAAAATTTCACATTTAAATTTCTTTTTCATTTAAATTTCGTCTTATGCAAATAAGTCGAAAGTTTCGCCGGTAAACTGGATTTTAGTGCAGCATCGGATTTACTCTATTTAAAAACATCTCACGTTTTATTAATAATAAAGTTGATATTTATACTTTTTTTCCCCTCGTCGCGAAAAAACATTTGATGCGTGTGTTTGCAGTTTCGAAAACAGTTTCAAAACAGACGGTATTTTGATACAAACGTGTGAAACAAATTTTCATTCAACTTATACGATTTAATCATTTAAATCTCTCTTCGCAAAGTAATAATGAAACGTATAACATTGTCGCAACTAATTACAGAATTTTTTTCTTTTCCCAAACTGATGACAGAAAATCGAATCATTTTGATGTTTCCAGTCAATTTCACGTTCACTTGGCCACCTTCCGCCGTTTGAGACTGAATTATGTCCGAATTCCGCCGTACGCAGTTGCGAAGCAAACAACTCGAGAAATAAGGCTTATCCGCCGACGATTCCTCCTATCCTTTCAACATAATTGACTCTGACGGCCGAGAATCCGCTGCTACTTTTTGACGAATTAACGTCGCAAGCGATTCGTAAGAGTTACACGTGTGTCCATGAATGTAGAAGTACAGTCGAGCCTCGATAACTCGAATCTCAAGGGAGGAGAAAAAGGCCCAGAGATCGGAAATAACTCATTACTTGTAACGAAGTTACAGTTATAGTTACAGTTACTTTTTTTCAATAACTGTAACTTAACTTAGATTTTTTTAAGTAACTAGTAACTAATTTAATAGTTACTTTTACACACGGAAAGAACAATTTTGCTGAATCCAGATCTGGAAATAATTTTTGTTCACAAATCAAAATAATTTGGTGCAAAAGTCAAAATGATTGTTAGAATATCAAAACGTTTTACAGCAATGCTTATCAGTTTTAACATTCCAACAAATTATTTTGATAATTCAACAAAAAATTATTTTCAGATCTATATTTAACAAAATGTTTAGATCTTTCAACAAAATCGTCTTTCCGTGCAGTTACTTTATATATGTCAAATCGTCACTTTCATGGATCAAAATTATGCAACACTTTCGCTCAATCACCTAATCGTAATGTTGATTGTAATTATGCGAACTATTTAAATGCTCATATTTAAATACGCGCATTACTTTTCTTTTTTAAATAAAATTATATAATATGTAAATGTAAATCTTTTTTTTTATAATGCTAATGTTGTTCTATTAAAAGTAACTAAAAAGTATAACGATTCGTTACTTTTTGAGTAACTGTAACATGTTGCTTTTCAGAATCGGTAACTTGTAACGGTAACTACTTTTTGAGAGACAAAAACTGTAACTGTAACTAGTTACTTCTACAAAGTAACTTTCCCAACCCTGACTGAAAACCCCTTCGAGTTATAGAGTTTTCGACTTATCGAAATTCGAGTAAAAGAGGGTTAACATATGAAAATTCGACTTACGGAGGCTTTGCGCGGGAGTTTATAATTTTCCCATTATAATGGCTTTTAGAGGAAAAAAAAAATCAAAATTTGACAGTGAATTATTTATTGCATACGTATAATAAATGTAATCGTAAAAATACCAGGCTATTACTCATCATGACTGCACATAGCTACAACTTCGAATTATAGAGGCAGCGACAACGGAAATTCGACTTGCCGAGGTCTGGCTACTTTAAATTCGAATTGCAGATGTAAAACAATACATCTAAATATTTGACAAGTAATTCGAGTTAAGGTTAGGCTTTATTTCGATTTTTAGAGGTTTTCCGTGCAGTGGAGCGGAAGGGAATTGTGAACAAAATTTTCGTCTTATGGAGGTTTTCGAGTTGTACAGAGATTTGAGTTATCGAGGTATTCGACTGTAATTCCGTCTCACTCGTTCGATCAACCCAGGCGCGGCCTTTATCTCTATTTCAACTTTTGCAACGACTGTATCAAGAATTTTCGTTCCCTCATTTTTCATCGTCTCCTATACGATTGAGAAGTCGTGTCGGCCGCCGAATATCCCTCTCAGGATTTTCGCACGAGTGAGTAACGCCTGCACTGGAGGACGGTGTGCACCACACACCGTCTCGCCGTAGGCACGTGGATCGCAAGTATTATAGGCATACCGTGTGTGTTTTCTCATATACACAAAAAGATATCCGCGGGGGGTAGGGTACACCAGCCTAGGATGGCGCAGCGCGGTGGCGGCGGCGGCGACGGCCTGAAAGAGTGGTGGCGCGGCCCGAGGCCGAGAGCTTTTGCCCGGAACGGAGGCCATCTCCCGAGGTGGGAGATGGATATAAGCCCATCGTCCGGGAATAATGCTATCAGTGACTTCGCGCCCGAGACGGTCTCGCATACGGTAAACGTGGTGTGAGCGGAAACATTGTGGAAGCATCATGCTGAAGGTATTACGGGAGAGAAAGAGAGATAGAAAGAGGCAGAGAGAGAGAAGGTCCGCGACGCGCGATACGAGTGCGGTATATACGAAACGAGGAGTGGGCTCGCGGGAGATCGTGCTCGAGGGAGAGAGTGCGTCGCGCTTTTCCTGTCGGCCGCGCTCGAGAGAACCTCCGGCCGGCCGTCCGCGTCTATCGGTCCCAGTGAATCTCCCTTTATTTTTCCCTTTTTCTTCTCGCTTTGCTATATATAAAGCTGTCCATTATAATATTATTGCCGCGAACATTGCGCGAAATTATCGGAGTTAATTATTCTCCGTCGAGGGAGATAATTTCGAAATCGCTTTTTGTTCAGCTGCACGGAAAGAACGATTTTGTTGAAAGGTCTAAAAATTTTGCTGAATACATATTTGAAAATAATTTTTTGTTGAACTATCAAAATAATTTGTTGGAATGTTAAAACTGATAAGCATTGCTACAAAACGTTTTGATATCCTAGCAATCATTTTGACATTCGCACAAAATTATTTTGATTATTGAACAAAAATTATCTTCAGATCTGAATCCAGCAAAATTGTTCTTTCCGTGTGCCGCTTATAGAAATTTAAAATATTGGATAGTAATTACGACAGTTTTGGTATTGAAAAGCACCGTACGGCAACGCTTGTTAATACTAAAAATAGATAATTTGCTGTATTAAATTAGCCCATATTAAATTGGATTTCTGTGAAAGGGTGATGAATAGATAGAGTTACCCCTTTTAAGCTAATAATTAAAGAGAGAATCTTTAATTTTGTTTTGGACGGCTTGTTTATATTTTGATTATTATTATTTATCATACGCCATAAAATCACATTTATCAGCACACGTTCAGTAATGAGATCTACCTATCTCTCCAATTTGCTAATTAGAGACAGATGGACTTTGCTATTTAGCTTTCAATTAGATCACCTATTTGGCGCCGTATTTGTAAATAACATGTAAATAACGTATATAAATATATATATGATAAGTTTATTATTTACAAATTATAGATATATATATTTTTTAAATTCTTTTCTTTAAAACGTTAAATCTCCAACTGGCCTCTCTTCGTTCCCCTTTTACTTTACAAAATTATTTAGCAATTATGTATTTTTGTGAAATTTTTCGGATGTAACATGTTCTAAAACGTTATTAATTCCGTCTTCAAAGCAATTCTAAACAGAATTTTACTATCGTTCCGAGTTGAAATTCTTTCAGCTTCCGATCAAATTAAATCTCTCTTACTTCCCGATCCTCCTCGATTTATCTCAAAGTACCGGGGATCCGCGTCGGCTTTCCCAGGCTATGAATATTCGTGCCGGGGGTGTAATAAACGGTTTATTCGCGACGTATCATTTCCATCTCGCGGCGGATAAGGAAGCGAGATCCTTTTAAGCCACTTCCGCGGCGGCAATTTCATTGACTTATATGCGATCCGTTGGCCCGCCGCGGATAAGTTCGGCGTGAAAGTGAAAAGGAGATGGACGGTCTTCTCTCGACGGTCGACTTCTTCCGATCCGTGATTTTAAATCGCGAAACATCGAAACTACTCGCGTTCAAGCGACGTACGCGACGCGGCGGCGCGTCTCGCCGCCGCGCCGCGCCGAGACTTTCCCAATAAATCAGCCCCGATGACTTTCCAAACCTGAGCGTCGCGTCGCCGCGTCGTCCGAGATCTGCGCATTGACAGGTGACTAATGAAAATCGTCCGCGTCGCACGGGGTTATCGATTGTGTCCCGCGCTGGTTACGCTTCGAAGACGCTTTTAAATATTGCGACGCGCGCGCGCGCGCACGACGCTAGATGATGGAGAACGTCTTCGGAAGAGATGTCGCAAAGAGAAGAAAACTACCGCCGAAGCCACCTCGACGCGCCGCGTAGAGGAGTTCGAAAGAAGCTATCCGGAATCCTTGACACAACTTCGCATATATTAACAATCTTGCTTTTTCTTTCCCACAGAGAGAGAGAGAGAGAGATTTACACGGAGATAATTTTATTTTAAAATTTACCATGAAAATTATGTTAATCGTGGGACAGCATAGTTTTCTCGACGAATTTTATGTGATTTTCACTATTTTATATAAATATATACTACAAAACAAATTTATTGAAGTGCACAACTAAAAAAAAAACAGAAAAAATCACATAAAATTTGTCGAAATATATGTTGTCCCACGATTAACAATATTAACATGATGATTTTTAGGGTAAATTTTAAAAGGAAATTCTTTTCGTGATCGCGAATATTATTGGTTTTTCCAGACGGTCGCTCTCCTCTGTGCCGCGCTGGCGTGCAGCCACGCGGTGGTTCTCAGCGGTTACAACGGCGGCCATGGCCTGTCCTACAGCGATTACGGCGATCTCGACGGGTATTACGGATCCGCGGCCGGATACAAAGTCCTGCCGACGGTCGCGGTGCCGGTGCACGCGGTGTCCGCCGCGCCGCTGCACGTGGACGCGTCTCTGGATCACGAGCTGCACGGCTATAAGCACCACACCGATCAGGATCACGACTATTACGTGAGTGCCTTTTTTAACGCCTTTTTTACGTCCCTTTTTTTGTAGCTCGTTATTCTATTCTCTGCAGCTTGATATTTCTTCGCTAACTAATATTCTCGTTGCTAAGATCGCATATCAATTCTCAGTGTGAAAAATATTCAGTAACAAACATTTTTTTCTTGAAAAGTATTCAGTGTGGCGAATATTTTTCTTGAGCAGCACTGTAACGTTCCAGCTGTATTGCAGAAATGTTACAATGTTACAGCAATATTGTAGTTATAGTCAAACCTCGATAACTCGAAAATCACTTGAATTTTTTTTTTTAAAGCCATTATAATTGGAAAATTATAAACTCTCGCACAAAGTTTCCGTAAGTTCGAATTTTCATGTCAATTCTTTTTCACTCAAACTTTGATAAGTCGAAGCTTCTATAACTCGAAGATTTTTATAACTCCTCCCTTGAGATTCGAGTTTTCGAGGCTCGACTATGTATAATCTGTTTGCTGGGTTTTCAGAAAATTTTTAAAAATTTTTACTTTTTTTTCGGTGAGACTCAATAATCATTGTAATTGACGTCATCAGCTTTCGAGGGAGAAAAACCAGGAATTTTTCCCGCAACTTCGACTTCCGCCACTTTCGACACTCTATTAACAACATTTAATATAAATTCCCGCACGTTTTTCCGTCTGAAAAGCGTCAAGATCCGTCGAGTCTCCATGACGTTTCCGAACGCCCGAGGCGCGTATATGTTCATTTAAATTCCTGTCTCTTTGAAAGGAGATACGTCTGTGTGTGACGAAGGTATATTTCCTCTGTCCTCGCCGTATCTCTTATTGTCGAGCCTCTTTCCGCAACGCTCATTGTCGTCGCTTTCTCGCGATGTTAATTGTCACTAAAAGCGGCGCTCCAAGTAATATCGTAAAACGAGGAAACATCGCGCTACGTGTGCGAATAATTGCGATATGACGTCGCTCGAAAGCGCACGGAATATTGCGCGCGCCGCAAAAGTATGCTTTATCACGCACCGCTGCGGGCCAAATTTATTAAAGAATGAAACTATTATAAAATCATGTTATACAAGAAACATCCCTATAGAGATATTCGGTAAATTAAATTTCACCGATGTGTAAAATTTATCTTTTACACTGTTAAATCTATAGTGTCAAACTGAAACTTATTTAAGTCGCCATTGCTCCTACTTAATAAATAGTTATTTTTAAATAAAACAATGGAATTTAACCCAAATTTGGGTTAAATTTGAACTGTTTTAAATTATTTAACTCCGTTGTTTTAGTAAAAAAGAACAATTTATTAAGTAAGAGTAGTGGCGACTTAAATAAAGTTCAGTTGAATACTATAGATTTAACAGTGTAAGCACGTTAATTTGCAATGGACCCCTTTTTTGATCTTTCGAAAATTAATTTCGTTTCACGCACGATTAATATACGTACACGAAAATTAAATCAGGATGCGCCGGCGATTTGAAAGCTGCGTGGAAATGTCGGAGAGTAAAACAAATAACGCGTTATTTTAAACAACTAATGGCTCTCGCGGTGGTCAATCAATTTACCGCTTTTTCGTATAAGAGTGAAAATAAAAAATGATCGGCTACACACTGCGTCGCATCTTGCCGCGCGGCAAGCGTGGCCGCATCCTGCGAGCCATCCCAAGCAGAACAACAGATAACGTCAAAATGACGTAAACAAATAAATAAACTGATTTCTTATATCATTTTAGAGTCATTTTGATGTGCCAAATGACTCTACACCGAGAGAAAAATATAGTTAAAATAATTTAACTATTTATAGTGAATTTCGAGGATAACTGTAAAATTATAATTAATTTAACCATGCAAGTTATAGCTGCTTTAACAATGCATTATGGCTATATATTATGATTAGATATTATTATTTTTTCGTTTACTTTTTTTTAGTTATTTCTACAATATAAATAGTAAGCAAATGTTAAAAAAATAGTTACACTTACTGTAATTAAAGTTGCATTTACTACATAAAAATATTTATTTTATTTGTCTTATTCATACACGGAAAGAACAATTTTGATAGGTCCAGATCTAAAAATAATTTTTTTTTTATAATCAAAATAATTTTGTTAGAAAGTGACGATGATTGTTAGAATAGCAAAACGTTTTATAGCAATGCTTGTAATTTTTAATTTTCTAACAAATTATTTTGATGACTGAACAAGAATTATTTTCAAATCTGTATTCAGTAAAATTTTTAAATCTTTCAACAAAATCGTTCTTTCCGTGTATCTTGACATTTTACTATATCAATATATGAAATTATTATAATTTATAGTAAAATTTTTGTCATATCTGGTAGGATTATACACATATAAGATTATTATTACTAACAGTAATAATAACTACACGGAGAGAATTTCCTATTAAAATTTACCCTGAAAATTTTGTTAATCGTGGAACAACATGGTATTTCGGCAAATTTTATTGTACACTACAATAAATTTGTTGTAGTATATATTTAAAAAAAATAGTGAAAGTCATATAAAATTTGTCGAAATACTATGTTGTCCTATGATTAACATGATTTTCGGGGTAAATTTGAAAATAAAATTCTCTTTGTGTATAAAAATCGTGCTCCTAGCCATAATTTCTTTTTACCATGCAATTACAGTCACAAATACGAAATATCTTTTTCTCGATGTAATGACATTTTCTTCTCTGCTTGCGATAGAATTATAATATCTCAAGCAGAACCAAAAAGTCATCGTGACGTCAAGATGGCATCAAAATAGAGGTAGTTGTTCTGCCTGGGATCTCCGTCAAGCTGCGGCATGCAGACGCGCGATGTGTTCGCCGTTAATTCGCCGTTTGCATAACGACTGCACCGCGTATATGCGCGCCTGTTACAGTCGCACCCGAGATACACCTTCAATTACGGCGTGCACGATCCCCACACCGGCGACGTGAAGACCCAGCACGAGGTGCGGGACGGCGACGTCGTCCACGGCTCGTACAGCGTGAACGAGCCCGACGGAAGCGTGCGCATCGTCGAGTACACGGCCGACGACCACAACGGGTTCAACGCCGTCGTGAAGAAGGTCGGGCCCGCGGTGCACCCGGTGAAACCGGTGCCGATCGTCAAGTACATCTCGCCGGCGCACTTCAACAGCTACGACTACGAGAAGCACTATTAGGAGCCGTCCAGCCATCCATCCGGCGTGTAAATAGGCGACGAATCGGGCGTTTTTTTTCGCTAAGAGGCATATTAGTCGATATACAATCAGTCTGCTAGTCAAGCGTGACGGCGAAACAGCGCTCTCGAAGTTCGATCGCGGACGCACCCTTCAGGTGGGATTTAATTAATCATTCAGCAACGAAAAAAAAAACAGAAAAAATTGTGTGTGGACTCGTTTTTACCCGTACAAAGAATTCTCATGTATAAAACAATTAGACTTTAGGAGGGGGATTTAGGATTGTACCTTTAAAATACACTGCGATAAATAAATAAATATATATAGTTTTCAACTGAAATTATATCGAAGAATGCTAACTCCTTTCCCGCAAAACAACGTTTGATATTATTTTCTACTAAAATAAAAGTATTTTTGTCTTATAATCTTTGATTTTTCATCGCTCGAGTCCGAAGCATCTAATCGCACCTCTTATTATACGTATATAGCGGCACAAAAAATCGAAATTGCTCCTTTCTGCACGGTTAATCGGAAATAGCTCCGTCTATTTATTTCACCCTTCGCCCGACGATTCGCAAAAACCGCACGAAGGCGTCCTGCGCGTCTCTTTAAAAAAAAAAAGGAAAACCATTTGACGGAATTGGAAATTGTACGATGTAACCGCGCATGTCTGAAGTATCGATTTGTATTTGCGGAGCGACTCTCTACGTAATAACGTAGATTTCATTTATTCTCCGAGATGCCTCTCGTGCGTTCAGGTTTTTCAGGTTTCACTGTAAAAATATAAATACGCAACTACCGCGAATAATATTTGAAAAGAATATGTAAACGCGTCTCACCGCGCACGCGCCTCGTAGAAAGTTGTAGGGCTACAGAAAAACGTGACAAGCGAATATCGATCAATCGCAATAAAAAAGGCTAAATAACGTATAAGCAGCAGCAAATCCAACATACTGATTTCTTTGCTGCTTAAGATTTTCCGTGTGTGCTAATTCTCTTGACCCTTAGGGTCCGCCTACAATAAGGGTAGTAAATCGTAAGTCTTAAGAAATTGACCAATTATAATCGATTATTCTTCTCATATTCGACTGTGATTAGTCAATTTTTTACAGCTCACGATTTACTACTGTTATTGTAGTACGACCCTTTATGCGGCGAATCTACAGTAAGAGTCGTAAGTCTTGAAGTCGTAGGAAATTGACCAATCACAGTCGAATGTGAGGAGAATAATCAATTGTGATTGGTCAATTTCTTTAAGACCTTTATTACTTATGACTCTCCTATTGCAGACCCACATTACGCTCAAATCCGTCCGAGAATCCCTTTGCGATCTATGTGCAATAGCATGATGATGTGAACCGCGCGGGAATTTAGATTTAAATCTCTATGCTACGGAAAACGAGAAATATCAAATTCACGTGAAACGCGATAGAAAAAAAATACGAATGTATATTTTTGGCGAACGGCACGCGGCTGACGAAACGGGTTTCGTTATAAAAGTATAGGAAGATAGAAGTATAAGCCTTTTGTCCACATTATATTGTAAAGTGAAATGTGAAATCGTAAAGAATTGATACTCTGACGACGATGTTATGTAAAACTGGTTTTACGTCCAAATAAAAGTTTTATGTCAAAGTAAAACAGACAATTTAGGTAGGTATATATATACTCGTGTTTTTTTTATCTTCATTTCGCCTGATATAAAGTAGATATGTGACGCGAATCGCTACGTGTCGAGATAATTCCATCGCCAGGGGACATTGAGTTTCCGACTCATCTGCAGCTGTCATTCAACTTTTATTCAATGAAGAGGAACTTGATAACTTGAAGTGGACGTATAATCTGCTGATGAAATTGTAATGAGATGCAAGCGGCACTGTAATTTTTCCAGTAATATGCACAATGCGTCATTACGGCTTCAATGAAAGCGAATAACCGTGTTATGGAAATTAGTCTTGAAAGAATTGCGAGGAGAGATAACCATACTCGTCATTAGCTGCACTTTTTTCAGTTAAAAATTCAATAATCACTCAATTAAAAGAAAAAATGTCTTCTCGACAATTATGATACTTCAATTCTTAAATTCTTTTATTAATCATAATAGAGACCGTATTTGAAATTTATTCAGAAGACAAAATTGAGCAGTAAATATCGAAATAATTATTTTAAAATTTAAGAAAGGAATGCGTCCATTTTAGATCATTTGGAAAGCACGCAAGAATCATTTAAGCTCACTTATTTTCTTATTCAATTCTACTTGCAGATTTATAATTAAAATTGTCTCAATATCCGGGAAATATATTTTTTTTTCCACATTTTAAACATAAAAAACAATGATTTATTATCGCTTATACAATATCGCTTTGTAATTCTTTAGTGCAAGTAAATACCACAATTTTAATGAAAATGGATTGAGAGAAATTCGCTGACAGCGATTTTGGCTCGACAAAAATGATAAAATAAATTATTGTTTTATTTCTGTTTAAAATAAAAAAAAGTAATATTTCTCTGATACTGAGACAATTTTAACTACGACTTTTGGATCAAGCAAATAAAATTAAGTAGAAAAAAGGTGGACCCAACAATTCCTTCCCAAATTACCTAAAATAAGTTTCTTTACACAAAAATATTATTAGGCACCGTTTTGATTTAAAAAGACGTTTCTTACTTTTATATATACATATACATACAGGGTGTCCCAAAATTCGCGAACAAAAATATCATAGCAAGAAAGTCTTTGAAGAATTAAGTAAAAAGGTTATTTGTAAATTTTTCACTTAAACAGTAGTTTTTGAGATATAAGAATTTGAATTTAGCCGATTATAGATTACGATTAAACGGAAGCACGTCTGTGAGCGCGTCGATAGTGTTAATAGTCGCGCACTTCACGCGAGTACTAATCTATAATTGGTTAAATTTTAAACCCTTATGTTTCAAAAACTATTGCTTAAAATAAAAATTTACAAATAACTTTTTTACTTTTTAATTTTTCGAAGACATTTTTGCTGTGATATTTCGCAAATTTTGGGAAAATAAATAATTATTCAAATATATATATAAATGTTAAATTAATGTTAAAACTTTAGAAAATAGAAATATTTATATAATTTTTCTAAAAATTCTTTACACATCGCAGTTACATATATACGTTTATACATATAACCGTCTTCAATAAGTCAAGGCCTCGTCAGAGACTTTCAGTTTCAAACTACGGCCAATGTCTCGCGATGTATATCCTTAACCCTAGATATACACACTGGGATCCCCGAGGCCCCAGCGAAACTTTCTCGGTCTGGAATTTCTGAAATTTGAAGGGGAGGGGTTTGGGATATTGACGTAAAAAAAGTTTGGAATCTTCTCAGCAGGAAGACGTGTTAACGCGCTGCAATTATGTCGCTCAAGAACCGAGCAGTGAACAGTTGAAGTGAGCGTGGGGTCCCCGGGATTGCTCGCAGTTTTGTTAAAAAATTAAAATATCGGATCGCCAAATTTTTTTTTGTTACTATTTCAGGTAATGCCCTTTCAGAATTTTCAAGGATTTTTCAAATCGGTCTATATTATAAACAAAAGAGATATGATTTTTTGAAAATAGGTGCTAAATCGAGATTTTTTCGCGTTTTTTTAACTTTCCTTTTTCTTTGAATCCGTATATCTTGGAGTTCCTTAATTCTATCGACTTTTACACACTATGAGCTTGTTCCGTGGTCGATTCTCTATCGATTGAAAAAAAAATTAATTGAAATATGTCCAATTTTTACTAGAATTACAGTAATAAATATGGATGCGATCTCCGGGACCCCAAGTGTGTATACGACGTCAAAAAAACAATGTGTATACCTAGGGTTAATTAGCGTATCGCTCTTAACAAATCACACTGCGCGCGCGCGCGAAATTGCTTAATTTGCCCGATAACAATCTGGACGCGTCGGTGGTTTCCCTTGCACCGCTAATAAGTTTCACATATGCCACCGCGTAATTAACAATACACACATACATATATATACGTACACATTCTGGGAAACGCACGCGTAACCTGCAACCGCTGGATTCGAGCAGTAACACTTACTTACGGCATTGCGCCGCTTTGTCCGAGCACTTGAACTTAACTCGCATCAACCAAGACCGTGAAATTCACATGCACGCTTTCCAATTACTTCAGTTTTCCGCGAGTCACATGCGCGATCTGATTTTTACGTTCAATTAAAACGTCCGTTTTTGGCATTTACAGCCGCCGAGAGAAATCGTTATTAATTCTTCTTTTTTTTCTCTCTCTCTCGTCTCTGCTTTAAAACGGACATGGTAAAAATCACTTCCGACGTGGGAAGTATCCGGATGTGCAAGTATTCGCTATTACTTTAAATTACAAATGCTATCTCACTGTTGCACGCATCTATTGCGCATATAATAAATGAAGGGAGCTATGGACGTCGCGAAATACGAGGCTCGTAAAAAAAAAATGACAAGGAAAGTCGCACTTACCGTGGATTCCTGAAAAATTTTGTGAGCGATAATGCTCGTGCTGTCGAACATATCCTTTCCGGGACCGGAGGCGAAGCACCTTTCCTTCTTTCCGGGACACGTGTACTGGTCGGAGCAGTTCTTTCCAGAGAACTCGCACTTCGGGCCGCGTGTATTCGGCGAAACGTCGCCGAGATTGGACGAGGCGAAGGCTGCCACGAATTCGCCCTAATGCAAAAACAGAGAAACATATAATATTATCAATTAGAAAGAACGATTTTGTTGAAATGTTTAAAAATTTTGCTAAATACAGATCTGAAAATAATTCTTGTTTAATCATCAAAATAATTTGCTGGAAAGTTAAAAATTATAAGCATTGCTATAAAACGTTTTGATATTCTAGCAATCATTGTGACTTTCCATCAAAATTATTTTGATTATTGAA